GTAGTAGTAGTAGTAGTAGTAGTAGTAGTAGTAGTAGTAGTAGTAGTGGGAGTGGGAGTAGGAGTAGGAGTAGGAGTAGCTGTACCAGCAGTAGCAGCAGTAGCAGCAGTAGCAGTGGCAGTGGCAGTAGGAGTAGGAGCAGCAGCAGCAGCAGCAGCAGCAGCAGCAGGCGTAGTGGTTGTCGTTGTTTTTTTGATCATCATCATCATCATCACCATCATCACCATCATCATCATCACCATCACCATCATCATCATCATCATCATCATATGGTTGCGGTAGTGGGAATGCCCCCGCCACATCAGTTACGTCAGAACGCGAGTTGCCAACCTTTTGCTCATTATTGTCTCAGAGACTTTTTTTGGCCTTCGCAGCCGCTCGCCAATGCTTCGGTTGACAGTCTCTTTGCTTAGTGGCCGGGCTGAGTACGTTGCAGTCGATCAAGGCTCCACAGTGGGCGACTTGAAGACTTTGGCCCAGCAAACTTTTCAGAGGGGCGTTTGCTGGATGATCCCTCGAAGTTTTTGCTACATGTAGGACTCCAAGAAGGAGATCATCTCACAGCTGTGCGGCTGCGCGCGAACCTGACTGCAACAAAGGCAATTTCGGATTCGAGTGTGGGGCATTTGCTCTGTGGTTCTCGGAGGACTCGGGGTGTGACAAGATCATCGCCTGAGGCCGTCCAGATTATGGGGGTGACAGCTCAGCAGTTCAAAGTCAGCTGAGGGGCGCGCGCCAAATTCAGGCCACAACCTCCGCATTGGCTGCCATTTTCGCAGATGGATCCCTCGTTTGTTGGGGCGATCCAAGGGTTGGTGGTGATTGCTCAGCAGTTCAAAGTCAGCTAAAGGGCGTGCAGCAGGTTCAGGCCACAAGCGTGAATGGAAGGCTTCTCTGTCTGAGGGTACCTTCGGCGCCTTAGGCAAATGGATTGAGGGCAAAAAAATGGTCTTTCGTAAGGTCACGCTCGTTCAGCAGGGTGTTGAGGCTGAAACGCATGAGCAGTCGACGCGATTCATCCGCGAACATTGGGAGAGTGTTTGGAGCGAGGGTTGGCTTGCGTCTCCTGAGCTTAGTCGTCAACTTGCTTCTGACTTTGGGTTTCGCCCTGCGGGTCGTTGGGTTGGTCCGTCGGCCTCTGATCTTCATCGCGCGCTGCTGCATTGCAAGGGTTCAGCCGGGCCTGACCAATGGCACAGCGCTGAGGCTAAGCATTTGCCTTTTGATGCTGTGCAGGTTTGGTGGACGCTGACTTCAGAGGTGGCTTAGGTCTGTTTCGGTGCCCAGGCAGCTCACTGAAAGCAGAAAGGTCAACCTGGCCAAGGAAGGTAAGGTTTCTGGTGATGGGTCTCTTGATCCTGCCGCTACACTCCCTATCTCCGTTTTGTCGGTGTTTTGGCGTGCCTTTGCTGCAGCTCTGCTTCAGACCGAGGATGTTCAAGATTGGGTGAGCCAGTCTCTTGATGAGAGGGTTGCTTGCAGAAAGGCGGGGTTGACCACTGAAGCTTTGATCGCCCGCTTACAGGCGCTGTACGCTGATCAGGATGGCTACATTGTATCCCTGGACTGGTCTGCGGCTTATGACCGCTTGTCTCCGGCTATTTGTTGTCAGGCGCTTACTGACTGTGGTTGGGATCCTCGTTTCGCTGCGCTGCTTCAGGCTGTTTGGGCGAATCAGGTTAGGTGGGTTCAGTGGGGGTCTCACACCAGCCCTGCTCCGCTCCCTTCTGGGCGGGCTGTTCCGCAAGGCTGTCCGGTCGCCCCGACGATCTTGGGTTTTGTGGCTACCGCTGGCCTGCGGAAGGTTGAGTCTAACCTTGGTCATAATGGTCATAATGCTGAGCGTAGCTGTACTTCCATTTACATGGATGACAGAACTTGGTGGGCGAAAGATTGGCGTGAAGTTGGTCCTCGCGTCCAGGAATGGGCTTGGTGGTCCTGTTCGATTGGTTTGAAGGAGAACAATCGCAAGACTCAGGTTTGTGCGCGGCGCACTTTTGACAATGACCCTTGCCCGCCTGAGTGGAAGGTTCCTGAAGTCAAGGCCCTTGGGGTCTCTACCACGTCCAAAGTTCGTAAATATACGATTGGTGAGCAGGAGAGATTGGACAAGGCTGAGAAGGCTGCTTCGCTGTTGGTTGGTGCGTCTCTGCCTTGGACTAGGGAAGTGGAAGCTTTTAGATGCTTCGTCTTGAGCATTGGGGCTTATGGTTGGGTCTGTCGGTCTCCCACCCTCACGTCCGGTGATCGCACCCTGAAATCTTTCAGGCGTGTTGTTGGTGGCAAGACCCGGATGGCTAGTAAATGGCTCCTCATGCTCTTTTTCGGTGGGTCGCTTCATTTGGTGAGTGCGGTGATCCAACGGCTGTGGGGCACACTAAGTAAGCTTGACTTACCTTGGTGCAACTCTTACGCTTCGCCTGTTGGTGTGCTGCGCAGGCAATTGAAAGGGATTGGTTGCAGTGAGGTGCGTCCTTGGACGTGGCGTTGTTACAGCGGTGTCGAGGTGCAACTTTTTCGGTCTTCTGACCTTAGAACACAGAGCCTCTCTGCTCAATTTGCTGCCGTTTTGGCAGATGGATCCGTCGTTTGTTGGGGAGATCCACGCACTGGTGGCGATTGCTCAGCGGTTCAACGTCAGCTGAAGGATGTGCAGCAGGTTCAGGCCACGACCTCTGCATTTGCTGCCATTTCGGCAGATGGATCCGTTGTTTGTTGGGGAGATCCGCGCTCTGGCGGTGACAGCTCGCAAGTTCGAGAGTAAAGGGGAGGTCGCGAAACTAACGTTTTTGCTTCCGGGGACCGTGTGGTAACATGCTGCTATGCTGACGGTGGGGCGGGGCCCTACGGAATTTGGGAAAACGTCCAATACAATGACGACACTCCTATCTAGACATCTAAATACTCCTACCTGTAGCTGTAGCTTCCGTCGTGTGTTATTTTCCAATGACTTCAAGAAGTCAAGTGTTTCATAGAAGTTTTGATGGTTGCTTGTCTGCTTTGATCAAAGAACCCTGCGTTTCACAAAATATAATAAGAGTCTTCTATCAAGTTTCATACTGCAATTGCAGAACCCTGACTTCACCCGCTCCACACTCTCCACCACACATGTGCCAATTCTAATCCTGATTTGGGACATAGAATGATTTAATGACTGACTTCAATTGGAAAAGGTGACTTGTAGGCATCCAGCAGATTTCAATACACCAAGAATTGCCAGAAAATGCAAGACATCTGGGAGTTTGCGGGGAATTGCATGTGTTTTGCGGGTGTTTTGCTAGATCGAGGTAGTTCTGGGTACGCAGCAAAACTGCTCATCTGCACCCTTAATTGGGACCACTTCAACGACGATTAAACCACGATCACAAGCACTTCATTGCATTTTTGCTTATGCCACAGATGTCAACACGGGAAGACAACTGGCAGCTCTAGCACTTGCGGGGGACACGGACAAATTATGACAAATGGGCTGCAGTGCAAGTATCAGACTGCAAACATAGCTTGAGGTTGAGTTCTCCACGCTTTGCTCAAAAGAACAGTGTTTCTATTCATTAAGCGCGGGTATGCATCAGCAATCCTAGTGAAGTCGGGTCAAACAGCAAGAATTATAAATTATTGGCGTTGGAAGATCCAGGTATAGGAAACTTCCAGCCACGTCTCGCATGGGATCTATTTGGTTATGGTTCCTATTTGGACCACCCTAAACACCTCCGTCCAGTCCAGTTCGAACCGTCATGTCTTGTTCCATCCCCCCTTGCAACGCCAAGCTTCACGTGACCCATTTGGCACGTATGGTTGTTGCGATCAGGCACCGCCAAGCTTCCCTGTGGCCTCATCCTGCTGCAGATCTTCTTCGCCCGCGGCACCAAGACCCTCGCCGCTTGTGGCTGGCGCGCCCGCACGCCCACCGGCGCGCGGCCCTTCGTCGCCGCGGTGCCCCATGCGGACGACAGCGAAGTCTCTGACGGGCCATCCGAGACGTCCTCCTCTTCGTGAAGAGTCGGGCCGAGTCCTGAAAGTCCGAAACGAAGCCAAGAGTCCAAGGATAGAAAAATCACCTTTTCCTTTTTTGCAGGGGGGCAGGTTCTTTTAATCAATTGACAACACAAAATGAAGCAAATATAGAGTAAGAGTGTGATTTGTATACTAAGGTGTTTTAAGGAGTTGAAGACACTGCGAACAAACATGTCCTTTTGTGTTGTTTTGCACTTCTTCGGAAGGACATCAATTCTGCCGGCAAATGAAGCCATCCGAACAACACCCTGCGGAACGCGCCGAACGCGCAGCGCTTTTCCTTCCGGGACATCGTGGAAGGTGATGCGCCGAACGCGCCAGGCGCAAGGCGTCCGTGCTGATCATGTGGACCGGAGGAATCCGACGGATGTGGTGGGAAACCATAGGACTGGCGAGCACGTGGGGACCAGCTGGATGTGGAGACCAATTCTGGTGTGATGGTCGGGTTTGATGGCGCCATGATGGATGGCGACCTGGAGAGGATTCGGAAGAAGAGTGAGTTGTGGAGCAAAGACCACACAGTCCAGCATACCACCAGTGTTTCTGTTTAGTAAATGGCGGTCTGTGTATCAGTAATGTTTGACATTTTTTTTGCTATAGAGTATAATGGGATAGAATGCAAAACTGACTTGTGGAACTCTGTTTCTCAAATTGGCAGAGCAGAGGGTATCCCAACAGTCCATTTCGTTCGGTTCTGAAATTGACGTTCAAATGCTTGGGATTCAATCCGGTGTGAACCAGCAGTTCCGAGACATAGTCGGGGACGCAACAGAACTTCACTAACTTCCCCCCAAAAAAACATTCTGGTCATATGGATGTATACGGTAAGGGTGCTTGCCTTTTGAAGTTGCTCCAGTGCGTGGTTTGAAGACTTCTCTATCCAACAAAAACGAGGTTAGGTGATGTTAGGTACAAACAATACATGTCTTACAAGACCTGTGGCTACAAACGGGTTCAGTTCAGGGAAAATGGTTTATAAAAATGGTTTATGGGGTCGTAAATGGCGGGTTGACAGGGGTGACTTGGCCATCATGCATGACCGAGTAGATGATAGGATTATTGGACTTCTCAACCTCTCTTGGCAGACACTGGCAGTCTGGGTCTGTCGGATTTGGGGTGAGGAATGGGGGTGCAATTTAAGGAGATTTGGACACCTTTCAGTGCAGGTTCTTTGCTGATGTTTGTTGGGTCGTTGTGCTCACGACGTTGAGCAAAGGTAGGCTTCGACCAAGTGAACCAGCACGTGAGGGATGCCATGATCCAGTGGATTTGCGTCGTGGTCCGGGAGAAATTCCAACGACTCATCAACAGAGCCGATTGTGAGGACGGTCTAGCAGAAGCATAGCGCATCCATGTGCAAAAGCCGAGAAGTTCCGCCTGGCAGAAGCCCGGTGGTGCACCTAGCATCACCTAGCAGCCTCCTAGCAGAAGTCTAGCGACTTGGAAAAAGTCCGGAAGTGAAGTCATCCGAGAGCCTGATGCCAGGGTACTTGACAGGGTATACCCTGTGACGGTGACCCGTCAAATACAAAGACGAGGTTCACATCGTCCTAGCAGGGGAAGTTCAGTTCACTTTCCATGTCTTATATTATGTACGTGTCAGAATGCGTGTCATTTCTATAGGTTTCTGTTCGTGATGTTCATAGATGTTGAAAGGACTTTTCTGCCATGTTTTACCTGTGTCGACTCAGAATTCCCAACTCGCCATGGCGAGATCTTGTGATTTCCCTAGGGCTCCTGTCCCATCTCCTCAGGTTCGGTGGTTAGACCCCCCAATCCCACCCACACCAACCATCTGGGGACATGGGCCAGGAGCCCTATAGGGTTCTTGGTTTCTGCTCTTGAGATTGAACCGACGTGGCGCTGCACGGTCGACGAACCTCCCGTGGCTCAGACGTCCCGGTCCGGGCCGAGCGGGACGATCGCGCACCGGCCCGGGCGTGGGTTCGTTCGTTGCGCCAGGCCCGGGTGAGGACAACCGTATGGGATGACCTCGTGAGGAGGACCGAGGAGGACCGCATGTGGACATATTGAAAGTAAAGGCGTTGTTTGGTGGAGTGGAGTATGGTGGAGTGAATTCCCAAAGTAGTCGACTGACTCGGAAAAGTTCGTGTGGTACGAGGACCACTTGATTCGGAATCCTGTGGATGATGCCCTTTGAATCCATTGGAGTTTGGGGCTATCACTTGTCGGATCTTGTCAGCCATTTTGGAACCACAACAAATGGCCGAACCTGTGTGCTTGTATTCATGTGATACTGCCAAGGGTGTACCTTTACATTTTGCTGTAGCAGTCGACCAGAGGTTCTCTTCCAGAAGTTCAGGGTGGATGATGTGTTAACATCCATCCAATGGATGCTTCGTTCACTCCGACATCCGAGCGCCATGCGACGGGTCGCCACTGGATGCTTCTCCACATGGCTTCACGAGGGTCCGACCGAACGGACCCAACCGCTCGCAGGCGCCAACGCCCAGAACGCGCGCTCGATGGAGGTACCCAGCAGCTGCACCCTCAGAGGGTCCCCTCAGAGGGTCGACTGGTTCGGTGCTGCCACAGCGCCACTCAAGGAAGACCTTCCCGTCACATGCGGGGGGTGAAACAGCTGGTCCAAGCGTTGACACATCGACATTGACTTTCAATATTATTTCACAGTGTTGATTTTGCATGTTTTTCACACTGAAAGTGAAAACTGCCGCGAAGAGTTCTTTATAAAGAACGGCTATCGACTCCATTCGCCTCCTTTTGTAGAAGCAACAGCAGTTAAAGGAGGCCTTTTACCATTTGACCTGTAGACCACAATGCCTTGACTCATGCCCATCATAGCACTGGAAGTGCCGGAATTAACTATATACCAGGTTTCAGGAAGATTTATCAATTGACCCCCCTATAGACAAACATTTGCAACAACACCCCAAATGTTGTAACTCTTAATGAAAATGCCGTCATGATAAGTTATGACCCACGAAAAATGGGATTGATCGAATTGATGATTGTTTCTTGGTACACTGACCTGGACGTGGGATCATAGCTGTTGCTGTGATGCTGCTGGATCACCAAGGAGTTTCCCCGTGACCCAGCAACATAGAGAGAATCAACCGTGTTTTGAAGGAAGCCCAGTGATTTGACCGTTGACTTCAGTTTTTAAGCTCACCCCACAATCCCCCCACCCAGCTCTTGATCAGTCTTTCAACGAATTTGGGCGTCAGCTTGTGTTCCTCACCCAGTGGTGGACTCGGCCCCCGGGGCTCGAGCCGTTCACACGACCGGTCGTGCTGTGATAGGACGGTGCCATCCACCGAGGTCATGGCCTCCAGTCAGATCGGTTAGATCTTTCGGGGGTCCAGGGGGGTCCAGGGGGGGGCAAACGATCCACCCGTCTCATCCCGAAAATCTGAACGCCCTCCCCAGGCCTGAACGGTCCCCCCTTCTTTTTTTTTATGGATCCACATACCTTCTCAGAAGGCAATTGGACCTTCCAAGCCTACATCAAATAGTCTCCAATTACCATATCTCAGGTTCGGTATGTGGCTCCGGTAACTGGCATTTCCCCTCATCCGGCGGGTTTTTCCGCCGATTCCGGGTGATCTACGGATCTGCACCCGAGGCAGTGGTGGCTTGAGTGGTTTGGCCTTGCTCAGCCCGCGCTTGAGCTGCCTCCGTTCTCTGAGCCCACGCGACACCATCGGGCTCCTTCGGCAGGGGTTGAACCCCGAGGAGCGGGCGGATTCGATGGTTTGGGGGGGTTGGGTTGAGTTGGGAATGGGCCTTGGGTTTGGTTGGGGGTTGGATTGGTGGCTTGAGTGACTTTAAAACTTGCTTTTGGTTTTGCTCGGAATATCCATCCAGTACAAGTTTGGGGTGGACCTGTTTCACTGGTTGCTTCATGGCAAATGGAGACGATGAAGACGTCTTGTTGCAGGTCCATTCTTGTGGCGTCCGAATGGTTTCCGTTTGGTGAGCTGCCAGGCTCCATGTAGGTTCCAACCACCTACACCTTACATCATCTTACATGACTGAGAGTCTGAGTATTCCAGGGTCTTGGTTATGATACGCTACATATATGATATGGGTCAGTACCAGACATACCAAAGCATTTCAGAACCGCTTTGGTTGGCAATTACCCAACGGATGTCAATTGATTCTGCTACCATCCCTGCAACATGTTTGTCATGGTTTCACAGATGCTGGATTCCTACAAGCATTTCAATCAGCTTTGCTTCACCCAGAATCTAAGTGACACATTGACGCACCAGAACTCCGTGAACGGACCTGCCTCACGAACTCCGATCTCAGACACTTTTGGGAGTTCAGGAACGAAATCCGATCTGACACGCTCCTTCACATGGCCCCACCTCCGTCTCGGCCCGTCTACCTCGCCTCCCACCGCAGGATCTCAGCCGCTCCCCCGAGCGCAGTCGCGCGGACGGCTCCCGCGCGGGGTCCGTTCGCGCGGCGTCGCGCGCGGGGTCCGTCCATTCGCAGCACAGCAGCCGCCTGCGCTTTTGGTCCCCTGAGGTGGCCGTGAGTCGGAGGGACCGAGTGATGGGGGGACCGACTGAATTATGGATGTTAATGTAAAAGAGATGATGGATGGGATGGGATTCGGTGTTATGACGTTGATGACGTGTTTGAGATGGTTTCAGATGTTTTTGTTCCTTTGTCGACACCTTTTAGATCGATGTTTTTTCTTGCTGGCTCTTTCTTCGTGTTCGCAAGAATTGCACAACGTGTGTTGGACATGGCTTGGCAAGTCGCGGGTCGCCAACGATCTTCTTGATCCGCCAACGAAACGCTCCGGCTGTGCTTCAGGAGGAGCAACGCATCGTGCAGAAGGGCCACGAAGAACGCATTCGCGCCTGGGCACGCGAGCGGCGGGAACAGCTCCGCGAAGCGCAGAAGCTGCAGGTGAGACGGGAGCCCGAGAAGTGGTCGTGGGGCCCAAGTCTTGGGAAAAAAAACTGCAACTGAAGACCTGTTTCAGA